TCCACTCATGGCAAAGGCAGCCCGAGATTTCCTGCCAATTCCATCAGCGGAGGTAGGGATTGAACGCGAGTTCAGCAATGCCAGGGATGTATTGGGGCTCAGGAGACACTGTCTAAATGCGGAGACTATGCGGTGGCTTATGCTACTGAAGGGACAGTATCAAAAATAGCGTTCCAAAAAAGTGATTGTGATAATATTAAGATTTATGGGAATGTAATATCTTAGAGATGGTGAACGCATTTGTTACAGAGTCTTAGGCACATGAAAATGGGTTCCTGTATTGAGACGTAACAACATGAACGGTAATGTATGCTCTCTCAGTATATGAATAAATATGATCATTCATGAATATTCATGAATAATGCAATATGAATAAGTCTCTTATTCATATTCATATTATGCAATTCATATTATTCATATTCGCAAATATTCATGAATATTCATGAATGATCATATTCCTTTCGGAGCCCTATCCATAAGAGATATCCATGGACCTCGATATCTGTAATACGTTATACGATCAAAAAAAGCAAGAAAGGCAAGCCAGCGTTTCAAAACCTCGATCCTGTCGGCCTAAAGAGCTTAATGAAGCTGATAAAGTACGTCTTATAGACGCAATTTACGAGAACCCCGAGTCACCCGTCAGGATCTTCTTGCTGAGGTCTGTTATAAAGTCGAAATAGACTCGATCCGACGTCTCTTAAACGCTGAGTATCTCCGGAAATGGCGCTGTAGCTGGAGATCCTATTTGACCGAGGAACATGCTCTTAAACGGCTTCGGTAGGCTACTAAATATCAACAGTTTACGCCCAACGAATGGGCTCGAGTCTTTTGGTTCAATGAATGTACGGTTAAATGAGGCATTGGAGTACGCCGTGAATGGACTTTTACTCGGCTGAAAGATCAGCTGCGTCTCGGGCAAGTTCAAGGTCTTCCACGAAGAGGGAAGCAAGCTAAGCAGATGTTTTGGGCTGCTTCCTCTGGCGCTACATGTCGTACCGGCCCTTGTTCCTCTCTTCGGAGATCCGGATTCTGAGCACGGAGGTGTGAATAGTGTCGTGATCCGGGATTTATACCGCCGAATCCTTCCTACCTTACTTGCGAACGAGGGCTGCTTTTTTCAACATGATAACGCGCCAACGCATACAGCGTACGTCGTCCGAGACGTACTACGAGATTTAGAGACCGAGATTATGGAATGGCCTCCGCATTCGCCTGACTTAAACCCAATTGGAAAACTATGGGCGTTAATGAGAGCTAAGATATATGAGCTTCGGCCTGGTTTTATTAGTATGAAGAATAATGAGCAGACTAATGCTATACTAGTAGCTACGGCACAGCTTGCATGGAAACAATTAGATCTAGGTCATTCACAGCATCTCTCTGAGTCGATGCCGCACCGAGTACAAGCTATTATTGATAGCCAGGGATGGTATGCGCAGTACTAATGAAATGATATTGAGGTTTTAAATTCGGCAGAATATCACTAATAATGGGCGGGTCCAAGGGTGTTATTGAAACTTTTGCAGCGTAGCTGTACATTATCTAGCTTTAAAATGGAGTTGGGCAACACATTAATGTCTACCACTTCATAGGCTAGTTCTGGAACCAGACAAATTTCCGGATGGAGGAATCGGTGCCGAGGTGCGTCTCAGGTATGGTGAAAGTTAGAAAAGGCCCCACAGAAAAGTAGACTGGGGGCGGCTCAGACAAGGCAAAAACAAGGCTCCTGTGGCGCGGGGACTACTAGCATTGGCAGTCGAGGTTCGATGGGGTCCGGCACCTTCTACATCAAACAACCAGGCGGAAGGAAAAATGGAGCTGGAGGGGAGGCAGCGTTCAAATAATGTGAACAAGCCCGAGTGGGGACTTGGTTGGGCAAGGATCATATTTCCACTGCTTAGTGTCTTAGCGTTGCTTAGGCTAAGACGCTAAGCATTGGAAGGGCCCGAGCACTATGGACACTCGATCGGCCGGGACATCGGGAATTGCACCTCAAATGCTGACCAATAAGGATTCTCCCAACTTCCTCCACTTTTTAAAACCAATTGATTGTCTCCGGGAACGAAAACAGATTGTTCGCTCTTCAGAGTTGTGTGTCCATGCAGAATTACCTTGTCCCTTGGGAATGGTGGCGCAGGCCTTTTTGTACGCTTTTTCGTGAGAATCTGGTATTTGTCTCGGATCGACCTCGATGATGTCTTTCGTGCGATAGGCTGGGTATGTCAGATCACTGTCGATGCCGCTGCTTATTTCTCGTGGCTAATGAACATTTCCAACAAGATATTTGCATTTGTCGAATGTCTAGTGTGCATTTTGAGTATGCTCCGGAATCTTTCATATCATTGAATGTCAGATACTAACCGTCAATTGCGCTGCAGTGACACGATACGGCTACGGCACACATATTGATGCTATCCACGTCGAGAACTACAAATGTTTCTTAAGGTAAGATTCACTATCCTGTGCGCACCACGGTAGATGACCGCTTGATATTAACTGGTCTGTAACCATTTGCAGCTTGACTTTGTCACCGAAATCAGCTATCTGCTCTCCCTCGGAGCCACCAAGATCTTATTCTGCCTTTTCTACCTGAAGATCTTCCAGGCCACTGGTTCAAATTAATGTGCTATAGCTTGATGGGATTATTGATTGCCGAGACTATTGAAGAAACCTTTGTCGTGATCTTTCAATGCTGGCCCATCCGCAAAGCGTGGGACGCCGTCGGCACCGGGGAGGGCAAATGTCTGTCTCTCTTTGGATTCTATTATATTTCGTTTGGAATTCGATTAGCGACGGATATTGCGCTTGTTACACTCCCTATCCCTTACCTGATTCGCCTGCAGATGACCATAGGCAAATGAGCGGGCCTGATTTTCATGTTTGCGCTCGGTATTCTGTGGGTGTCCCCTGGAGGGTTCCAATATTGGACATCACTAACGCTCATCTCTAGGGTGGTAGCCACCAGTATCATCCGCGCTACCAGGTATATCTCAACAACTTCTCCGCCGATCATACATGTAAGTCTGCCTTTATCCGTCACCATATCTGCCCCAGGATTGCCTTTGACTGTTTCCATAGGAGAGCTCGTGAGCCCGCTGAACTGGTCGTCCGTTGAGCTTGGAGTCGCCCTCTTCGTCGCATGTTTGCCCTCCTTAAAAGCTCTGGTCACCTTGCTATTCCCCTCACTGCGTCGGTTTCTCGGTCTATCCAGCAGCGTACGGATGATCCTCGATCTTGGGGCAGGGCCAGACGATCCCACATCGGCCAAACAAAATTGGGCAGCACCACCACCCACACTCAAACTGAGGTCGAAGCGAGCCGAGATGGCTCCAAGGGACGCATTATATCCTCTCAATCTCCAGTGGGGATTCAGGTCACCACGGACGTGAGCGTAGATCGATCATCGGAACGGCCGCCCCAACAGCAGTGGCCACTCGATGACTGAAGCGGATTGGCCTGTGGTTTTGTCGTGGACCCGGAAGAACAGAAAAAGGGGTCATCTTCGTACTTTGTAACGTCGCCCCCTTCTCCCTGGATTGTACGGTATTTCCAGTAATTTGTCTCATAATCGAATCCAACGATCTGATAGACTCGCAATTGGAGATTTTGGAATTGATAGTACAAGGCTCTCCACGACCAGCATAGAAATGATGACATGGCCGCAATCAGTATGATAGATATCTCGGTCATGTCGGACACAAGTTCAATTTGAAGTTGTCCCAGATCACACGTCGGTCTTTTCCCCTTTCTAGCTAGACTCGGCATCAAATATGGCGCAGGATCTCGGTCTGTAGATCTGTAGATTAGCATGCTCGTCTGTACGGGCCCCAAGTTCCTTCGTGGTCCGGCCTCTCAACTGGGTTCGCTTTCCCGTGAACCCACCTTAAAGCCGAACTTAATATCTCGCATAAGACTGATCTAAACTGTGAAGCCGGAAGGAGGAGCGTAAAGTAAACTAATTCATGCTGCCCCACCTAGGTCCATGTTCGCTTGCCGGACTCCAACCAATACGTCAACCGTGCGCTACCGACCGGGAGGGGCCACCCATTAGCTCTCAGCTCGGGGCGGGATTGTCTAGCGCCATACATGTAGGGAGCCAGCAAGAGATAGAAGCAATTCAGTCGGATCTTTGCATAACTAAACCACAAGTCCTCAAGCATGCAGGGGTCTTTCCGCTGATTCAAGTGTGGACCTGATTGGCAGGATAGACAAGCATGGAATCGTATGTAGAAGAAATAGATCGAGGGCATGAACATCATCCCATCAATCCTTCCAGCGTGCTCAGGCAACATCCGGACGAGTAGCTGGTGACTGTGATTACGACCAATCGTTGTCTTGCTCTTGGAAGTGTGAGCCAGGTAAATTAATCCACCCAGGGTGCCCCTTTGCGTTCGGAATAATCGGTTCGCGCCTGAGTTAGCTCGCCCGCCCCCTTAATTTCATATTCAGAAGGCTATTGAGGCGACTAAAAGAGTGTGGCCAGGCCAGTACTACTACATCAGCCCCCACCCCCTTGCGAGTTCTCAAAGGGCTCTTGGCTCGGTAGTTGTTCGCGCCACAACTTCTGATAGTTAAGAGACTGGCGAAATAGGCGTCCGGCGATTTACTCAAATACAGAACCCCATGTGGTCCGGCGTGTTAAGTGACTGGGAATGTTTAGGACAGCCTAGTCATTCTTCAATAATTAATGAGCTCTGTGTATCTGGCCAAGCAGCTTGTCAAGCCACTAGTTGCACCAGAGTCATCAAGAACCCACAAACAACGCGCTGCTCCGGATGCGGGTAGACATCCTCCCACTAATTTGGCCGGGTGGTCGGACATTCCAGAACGCCACCAGAAGTCCCGAGACATCGCACCGCCGAGTTTCCGAGTCTTCTTCTCCCCCGTTGATTCTTCCTTTTCCTTATTGCTAGCTCTGGGATCGCCACTTATTTCCAATTGTTCGCATTTGGGATAAATTTCATCATCTGGCGCACCACGCAACAAGTGCAATCAAGATGGTGAACACCAAGTATAATGTTGATGCTGAGGCTTTGTATGTTCCCCCAAGCCCCGCCAGGGACGTCAATCAGCAGGCAGTGGACCTGGATGAGCTCCCAAATGGATACTATCGCAGCAAGAACTTCATCGGATCACTGATTGCAACCTGTCTTATGGCGATCAGTTTGTACCTGGGCTATGTGTTGCCTGTAAGCCCTCCAGACTTCCATGCATTAAATATGATTGAAAAAGAAAAGAAAGGAAAAAGAAAGACTAACACCCACCTAGGTAAACAGCTTAGCTGCCATCAATGCGGATTTGGGACCCGACCCCAACTATAGCATGATTTCAACTGTTTTCACATTGATCTCCGGTGTAAGGATCGCCTTATACCTGAAAATTGCATAGTTGACACGGTGTTCATTGTTCGGTCATTAGGTCGCCATTCTTCTGGTCGGACGTCTTGGTGATATTTTCGGCCGTCGCTACTTCTTGATCGGGGGCCAGCTGCTAGGTCTGATCGGTGCCATTGTCTGTGCAACGGCCAAGAATGTCCCTACTGTAATTGGTGGCAGTGCCCTTTGTGGCCTGGCCGCATCGGTGCAATTGACTTTCACATTTGTGATCGCTGAGTTAGTCCCCAACAAGCTGCGACCCATGATCAATGGCGGTATCTTTGTGACCACAATCCCTTTCGCTGGATTCGGTGGCCTCATTGCCAAACTGTTCACCCAGAACACCGAGAAGTCATGGCGTTGGAATTACTACATCAATATGATTACCTGTGGTCTCTCAATCATCTTGTATGTGTGCTGCTACTATCCGCCAGGATGGGAAATCAAGCACAAGGGCCAGAGCAGACTCGAGGGGTTAAAAAAGTTTGATTATATTGGCTTCGTCCTCTATGCGGGGGGATTGGTCCTGATGCTCCTTGGTCTTTGTAAGTTCATCTGGAATATGCCCTCGCGAGCCAAATACTGACCGTTGGTGATTGTAGCCTGGGGTGGTTCATCCTATACATGGAGCTCAAGTCATGTGATTGCCGTTCTTGTGGTCGGCTTCGTCTCGCTGATTGCGTTCGTTGCCTATGGTACGGTAGCTCCTGTCAAATGATCCCCGACTCCCCTTTTCCTAATTCACCCTCTAGAGATCGCTGTTCCCCTGGAGCAGCCGCTCCTGCCCTTGTATCTGCTCAAGAATCGCGGCTACACCGCGACTGTTTGCTCTGCCCTGGTTGGCAATATGGTTTACTTCTCTATGAGGTATGCAGACTGATAATTACGAGACTGAAAAACGCAAAACACTAACAACCTCTGACAGTCTGTTGTGGCCGGAAGCCATTGCCTACTTGTTTACTACTGACTCGATCACGGCTGGTTGGCTTGCGGTGACTACCGTACTTCTTATATGAAAAGCGTTACTTGTCTAATATTTTATAGTGCTCTACGGGCCTGGGGGTCATTGTGGGAGAAATTGTTGCGGGTGCTCTCATGAAGCGTCTTGGCTACTCCAAATACCAGCTCATTGCGTCGACAATCTTGATCACTACTTTCTCGGGCGCCCTTGCTGCTATCAATCAAGATAGACAGGCTTATGGCCTCGCGGTAAGTGATGATTCATTACGTTCAGCTCCGAATAGAGATTTCTGACATGTTCCCTATCGTCTAGTTCACTGCGATCGGTGGTTTTGCTGTTGGGTATCTCGAGCTCATTACTCTCATCATGTGCCCTCTGTACTGCGAGCCGGAGGATATTGGTCTTGCAAGTGGCTTTCTTGGGTCGGCGAAACAAGTGGCAGGAACAATTGCCAGTAAGTGGATGCATTTGAGACTGTTCTATATCCAGAGGCATGGTCGACTAATCTCTCACAGCCGTTATCTATATTGCTATCCTCAACAGCCGTGTGTCTGCCGTCCTCCCTCGTGATGTCTCTGCAGCTGCAGTGAAGGCCGGCCTTGCGAAATCATCTGTCACCTATCTCCTTGAGGCTGTCTCTGCCGGTACGACTACGGCGCTGCAAGCTATTCCTGGTATGACCGATTCTATCTTGGCTGCCGTCGGCGATGCCGAGAAGACCGCATATTCTCAGTCCTTCCGCACAGTATTCCTCGTAAGTATCGCATTTGGCGGCCTTGCTATAATTGCTGCAGTGGTTTCCGTTCCGATCGATGATAAGCTCAACAATGTCGTTGCGGCAAAGCTTTCGGGTACTGGTGCAAGCCGGGCGGAGTTGCAGACAAACGAGGAGAAAAATTAATGCCAGTTACTCACGCCTGCAGCGATATCACAAATACTCATTTTGTGACTGCATCAAAAGATTGCTCTATTAGACGATATCAATAGGCCAATGTTGACTTTTGAGAGGGGTTCTTTGGCAAATTTATGAAATACAATTGAAAAATTAGATCACATAAACCAACCCCCTTTCCTCTACTCCAGAATATGTGCATGGCCTAGCCACTCACATTCCTAGATTATTCTTCTCCTACTAAATAGTCACGGCTTCCAAGGTTGATGTTTACTTATGATACTTCAAGTACAAATGATCGACCGTGGACGAGAGACTGGGAGAGTCGAAAAGCATTTGTCCTGGCACGTGGCAAGCATCACCAATGTGACGATCGAATACGCGATTTCCAAATGGCACTTGCATCTCCGCGGGGCCGCTTTCGGAATAAACTTTATGCTAAGCTTTAGCAAGGTTTTTCAAGGCGGAGAAAGAGGGGTTATGGAGCGGTCGGGGGCAAATGGTGACTTGAGGATCCTATAATGGACCCACTTGCTGACAACTTGTGAATAGGAGCACGCAGCCCCAAGATTGGCCCCTTACTGGTAAGACGCAATTGGACCCCTTGCTACCTTGGACATAACATACACATAAACTGTATGGACAACAATGCATCCCACTGGACATCAGCGCAAGCCCCGGATAGCAGAGCACCCTACTGTACACAGAAAAAGTGGACAGGACGATCCCAATGATTATCTCGAGTCCCACCAGTCTCACTTGTCATCAGAGGGTAAAATTACGCTCAGTCCTTGGCAGTTAAATTCAAGGACGTCAAAGGGCTCCAAACACAGGACGTAAAGTACAAAGTACGCGTCCGAGTGATGTGAAAGGGGCCGGAAATAAAGCATTCGTAGATTCAAGGGATATTCCAAAAATATTATCATAATGAACACGCTTAGCCTAAGCATAAACATAAAAAGAAAAACTAATAATCACAATAACCGAAAGCCCGACCAGTTATTGGGGTGGTATTTCGTACAATATGCCAATGGCAGCCGAGGCAAAAGCGGAGAGCTGTTTCAGGTACAGCGTCCAAGAAAAGAAAATATTATCAATAAATGGCAATGGAAATGTGCCGAATGGGATCAATTTACAGCATGGCGATGGCACCAGCGACGGCGGCCAGGGAGGCCACCAGAGACGCGGTTAGCGACACCGGCGTTGGTGGTGGGCACGGCGGACTGGGAGGCCGAGGAGCTGGCGGCGCTGGAGCTGGCGCTGGTGGAGGAGGCAGTGCTGGAGCTGGAGCTGTCGGTGGTGCTAGCGGAGGTGCTGGCAGCCGAGCTGGAGGACTCCGACGAGGTGCTGGAGGTCTTGCTGGTGGTGGAGGTAGAGACGGAGACGATCGAGCCCTCGACAGTGAAGCGGGGCAGGAAGTTGTAGTCGTTGTCGTTGTCGTCGGAGATAATCTCGATGGTGTAGTCGGGCTGGGCGGCCAGCTTGGAGGGCACATCCCAGGTGTAGCTGCCGTCGTTGGGGATGTTGGAGGCGATGACACTACCGGAGTTGGCGGTTGTCACAACTCCCCACTGCAGGCGCAGAGTGACTGTGCCGCTGGTGGAGGGAGTCCAGGTCAGAGTGGTGGGCTCGCCGACCTTGAAGGTGTAGCCATTGGTGGGAATGTTGAAGGAGTTGTCCGTGCTGGAAGCAGAGGCAATGGCGGCCAGGGCGACGACGACGAAGGAAGTGAAGAAACGCATGGTGATGGGTTGCTATGTAAGGACGGAAAGGTCTATGTGCAGATAAAAGAGTAAAAGAGTGAAAAAGGGGAAATCAGAGCCTTAAAGGAAGGGAAGGCGAAGTTTAAGAGGCAAATGGAAGACAGAGCCGAAAATGAGGCGCAAGCGGAGGCTAGCGTTATAAGAGCGAGTCCATGGTTTGTTAGCAGGAGACTTAAGGGACTTCCGAAACCCAAAAGAGGCAAGAAAACCAATAGCGTCAAATGCAAGGTACTGCGATCGGTTGTCACCCCAACTCTCTCGTGGCGGAGATCCACGAGCTTGCAGGTCTGTGGCCATTAACGGCTTTGGCTTCCTCGCTTGGCAGGGAATCTCCTCTGCTAACTGGTGCACCAACGGACTCCCTCTCCACTGCCGGCCTCGCTCGTGGCTTATCGGCCTAGCTAGCTGTAGCTGTGGGTGTGACTCCCGGGATATCGACACAAACATAGTCGCCCATATCCAAATATGCGCAAGATGTCCCAACAGCTGGATTCCAAGCGTAGAAATCATCTAGTGAAATTCTGGCTGTAGAAGCTACAGCATAACAGGTATCTCCCGGTTGAACGAGATGAAACTTATCGCAGTCACTTACCATCCCACTCTCAATTGGAGAAGGAAGTGGAGATGCCACCTGAGGTAGTGCTGGTGGTAGTGATCGTATAACCGAGAATATCAACACATACGTAGTCACCCACATCCAGATATGAACAGCTGCTTCCCACTGCCGGGTTCCATGAGTAAAAGTCAGCAAGGCACTGGCACAGCCATCCTCAGACTCAAATATTTATGCAACACCATTCTATTTAGCGCCGACCGGTCTATCACTGAAAAATCGGCCGATCTTTTCCCCAGAGCTAATCGATCATAAAGATGACTCTTGAAGCACGTCGGCCGGAGAGCGGGAGAGGGAAGTGACACCTTGTCAGATTCTCAAGAAACTTCCCGTTCCTCATGTTTGGCTTGTTTGCATCCCTATGGATTTTTTTTCATACAGTCGAATTCATACAACGATAATACGTAGGGCCATGTATTCTTCAGTGTAAGCCACCCCTCGTGTGATCTCCACCAAGGCCTCTAAACTACAGAATGAACTTGAGGAGCTCAGCCACATTAGAAGGTTGGCCACACTTAGGTCCCAAGTGGAAGGTCGTTAAACTACAGTCAAGAAAACCTTTGTCCGACTTTGAGGCAATTACGGTCCAAACAAAGTATTGTCGGAGAACGGATAGGCGGCCCTCGCTATTCTGACCACCAAAATGATTGCCAGATTCCTGAAGAGCGTTAGTCTAGGTATGAGTGGTTTACATGGTCCTATCACAGCAAGACAGCCGCGGGAGCCTATTTTCTGCTAAGCCTTAATAACCTCGCAAGCCTAGTGCTGTGTCTGTTCCACACTACCTCGTTTTGGTGGAAATTCGCCCTGTGGCGTTGCTGTTCTATGGCATTTCGAACCCCGGCCGCGTAACCTCGTCTAGGCTGAGGTCAAAACAATGGAGAATCAATTTGTCACCTGATTCATCTAGTAGGATCGCTGCGATAAGCTCCGATCAAGCCCTCAACAAGTTCACTATGATTTTAATTTTAAGCAGCCTTAACGCGCCTTCAGCCAGGAAGACACCCTGACCGTGCTTCCATCTCCTCCCGCCATCGATCTCAACGTCGCTCCACTATTGGTTAGCTGTTTCTGACAGTATGGCGACGATCAGGATCGCAGATGCCGCGTACGCGGGATATGAGCCGGGACAGCCACTGTCCTGCGATGATGGATCATCTATGGGCCCGGCTTTCTCCAAGTCGCAATCGATGGCCCGATCTTATCAAGAGGAAATCCACGAGAGCATCTACAATATCCGTTCTCGCTCCAGGATAACGGAGCGGATCAATAGCAGGATCTCGGCTGCGGAGCAGCCAGACGACGACCCAGGTTTGCGAAACCCGAGCGACTTCAAGCAGAGACAGGTAGGCAATGCGACCATGAAGGGCCATTGAGGGCGAACGTCACTCACCATTAACAGGTATTCAAAGGCAAGATGCTGTTATGGCTGGCATATCAATCCGTGGGCGTGATTTATGGCGATATTGGCACCAGTCCACTCTACGTCTTCTCGTCCACCTTTTCGTCCCGTCCCTCTCGACAAGACCTGATAGGCGCACTCTCCATCATTATTTGGAGCCTGTTCATGATGGTGACTGTCAAGTATGTGCTGGTGATCCTTCATGCCGATAACGACGGCGAAGGTGGCACTTTCAGCACCTATTCCCTTCTCAGCCGCTATGCAAGTGCTCTTCGCTATCTCTCCCTCGCAAAAGCTGACTGACTCACAGATGAATATCACCCACCGTGATCCGAGGGAGGCCTCGTTGGTCCAGATGAAACGGTGCTTGTCTGGTGACCTGGAGAGCGCGGGTCAGAAGGTGCGCCAATGCTTGGAGTCCAGTCGGTTCGCGCGAGGCCTACTGAAAGTGATCGGAGTGCTGGCCGTCACTATGGTGCTGGCTGATGGCCTGCTCACTCCAGCCCAGTCCGTTCTTGGAGCCGTTCAAGGCATTGAGGTTGTGCAGCCGAGCATATCCAAGGGCACATTGATCGGCGTTACTGATGCCATTCTTATCGTGCTGTTTTTTATTCAGCCGTTGGGGATCACGAAATTATCATTCGCGTTTTCACCGATCGTGATTATCTGGCTCGGGTTCAATGCGGCGACCGGTATATACAACCTCGTCAAGTATGACGCCGGGGTTTTCCAGGCTTTTAATCCTGGCCTCGCGTTCGAATTCTTGGTCCGTAACAAAGAACACGGATGGAGGATGCTCGGTGGTACTTTGCTCGCCTTCACGGGTGTGGAAGCCCTCTTTGCGGACCTAGGCGCCTTCAGCCGAAGAGCAATCCAGGTCAGCTGGCTGTGCTATACGTTTCCGTGCCTTTTGTTAGCATACATCGGCCAGGCAGCGTACATCAGCGTCCACCCAGAAGCATATTCGAATCCCTTTTTCAACTCGGTCCCACCTGGAACCATCTATCCAGCCTTGATCATCGCCATTTTAGCTGCTATTGTTGCATCGCAGGCTATCATTACCGCCACCTTCCAGGTAAGAGAGTTGTAACCTTTTATTTGCGGAAAGTCCGACTCTGATAATGCTGGCAGCTTCTTGCGCAAGTGATGAAACTCTCCTATTTCCCTCAGATCAAAGTTATCCATACTTCCCAGATATTCCACGGGCAGCTCTTCATTCCCGTCGCGAATTGGCTGCTGATGATTGGAACTATCTTAATCGCATCGATCTATAACAACGTAAGTCGTGGTATCTTCCTTTCTCTGTTCCGTTCTTTCACAGAAACTTATTCTATATCCCGTAGACAACATCCTTGGGTAATGCGTACGGTGTATGTGTCATGTTCGTGACCTTTTTCGACACCTGCATGGTGTCTCTGGCTGCAATGTTCGTCTGGCGGATCAGCCCATACCTTGTCTTCCTCCCGTGGCTCACCGTGGCCTGCCTGGATGGTACTTATCTCTCGTCGGCACTGACCAAGGTGCCTCAAGGTGCCTGGTTCACGATCTCGCTCGCTGCAATCCTTGCCATGCTGTTTCTTTTGTGGCGATACGGCAAAGAACAGCAGTGGTTCGCCGAAGCTGAGGACCGCTTCCCCACATCACATTTCATCGTATCCAGCCCAGATGGCCAAATGTCCCTGTCCAAGCGATACGACGACCTTCCAGTTAGCGTCAACCGCGGCCTTGGGATCTTCTTCGACAAAGCGGGCGAAACGACTCCGATCGTGTTCAGCCAGTTTGTGCTTAAGCTCAACTCTTTGCCCGAGGTGATTGTGTTCTTTCATCTCCGCCCCCTCGAGCAACCTTCAGTCGCGGCTGAGAATCGATTTACCGTGTCGCGTTTGGCCATTCCAAATTGTTACCGGCTGGTTGTTCGATACGGATATAATGACGAGATCATCACACCCGACTTGGCGAGCGTGATCGTCGACCAGGTCCGGAAATATCTAATGCCGAGTAGCCCCAGCGTACCCTTAGGCGAAGAGGGCGAGGAAAAGGATTCTGTGGCCCCTGACAGCTCGATGGCGGAGGTCAGCAGAGACGCCCACGCCTTCGTCGGTTCTGAAATCGCTCATCTGGAAGAGGCACATTCACACAAAGTGCTCTATATTGTGGGGAAGGAGCAGATGAAAATCAAGCCCGACACAACGCTCGTCCGAAAATCCTTGCTACACGTCTTTTTGTGGATCCGGGATAACACGAGGAACAAAATGGCTAACCTCCGACTGCCAACAGATAAGCTGATTGAGGTAGGATTTCTGAAAGAGATATGAGTGTGGCGATAAGTGATCTAGTAGCTTTAGGGCGATCAGGGATTGGGAAATTCATGTACCTCAGGCGAGGTTGTGAGCTCAAAGTCAATCATGTTAAATAAACAGTAAATACCGTCGTTCTTTATTGATGGAGATGGTGTTCAACTTAGAGGCTGCCTGCTATGGAGGATTTCGGACTTTATCTCATTGATTCATTCACACTATGTGGTTGTTGTTGACGATTTCCGTGCCAATTGAAGCTAATAAATGAGGTGATGGTTGGACTGATGTGTAATCTCGATTGGTGGCCTTTAATGGAGATTATCTCTGTCGCTTGAAGGCCCCGCTGACCACGACATTGCACTTTCTGGGTGGCTACGCCGCTGGCGAGAGTGCCCGAACTTTCCCGTAGCAAAGGCTGTTACGAAACAGGGACCACAAAGAGAACCCGTGAAACTCTCCGTTAAAACCTTGCATCGCGTCCAGTGACGCCATACATGTCAAGCTTCTCAAGCTGCGTGTGTCTTGATGAGATACTATAGAGCTCCCTTCACGACCGCTCTCATGGGATGGCACTGATTTGTTTGGAACTAGTTCAGCCCAGTATCCCAGGTAGTGCGCGGAAGTTCTCGTTTGTTCCCCGACTATGCCATTTAAATGCAAGGGAATCGGTCGGGTGTCCGGATTTGTTGCGAGGCTAGAAAGTCATCACAAGACTTCCCCCATTTCAGCAATGCTATACGGAGTACACAAGTTGTAAGTTACCTAGGATTTATTATAAAAGCAAGCCCGAATAAGTGCACACTTAGCTGGAAGTACGCATGTGTGTGTCCTTTTTTCCAACAAAAATTCGCCCCAGTTCCCATCGGTCTCAAGGGCCTCACTACAGCACAAGATGTCCGGCGCTTACTCTCAAGCACGAATGCAGCACCAGATCTTCTCCAAACCACGCAAGCCTCTGAAATCTCCAGATCGCCTGGTCGCCTTGCGCCAAGACTACATCACTAACTCGAAAACAACCCTCGTCCTCCGTCCCCAAGGCGACGCCCAATCTGCGGTTGCGTACAAGGTAAAAGACCAAGACGGGCAGACGGTCTTCACCGCTAGTGGATGGAAATACAATCATGGTTCCTGTCGGGAGGTCCGCGATGCCACTGGGTTGCCTCTCTTTGAGCTCCACCGAAAGATCTCCCTCAAAATTACATGGTACATCACTCTGCCGGGAGATGACCGCGGAGTGACATTGGCCACTTGCACTCCACGATTTGCACCCGCCTTTGGAAACTTTAACATCACCCTGAGAAATGCGGCTGCCCGTGACACAAAGTCGTTAGCTGGGAAGGAGCTCACCCTAGCGATAGAGCGGCATGGGCGCGTTCTGCAGAGCTTCGACGTGGTTGATGGTGATCGAAGGGTTGCTGAAGTGTGCGAAAGCGTACGCCACAACGACAGATTGGCGTTGACAGCTGGTGCACGGAGGGGTTATCGGCCTGCCCTGGATATCGTCGTCGCTCCTGGTGTCGATATAGCTTTGGTAAGTTTTTATATAAGATTCGCCAAGATTCGCTACAAGCGCTGACTTTGACCTTCCCAGATTGTGGTCATTGCCATCATCGCCTCCGATAGCGTCTTTGGTTCCGAATCCGGCTGAGGTCAACTTATATTGTGGCTATGATATATGTTCTAGCTCCCTTCTTGACAAGCTGTTGTTCCTGTTTAGATAAAGTATTTCCAACTAGGCACACTTGCATCCATCTATAGTACGCTTATTTATACCTCTGCTTCGGTCTGCTGTTTATGCTCCCAGCGTAACTGCTCAATATCATTTTCTTCAAACATGAAATTCCAGATTGTTTCGTAACACGTCAGTCGGTGTTTGTGTTCCCCCGGCAAATTCGTCTTCGAACTCTTGCTCCCAACATGCTGCAGTACACTAGGAGTCAATGCCCGACGTATCTCTTTGTTCTCATCAAAGTAGCTTTCGGTAAGCATGTCGACGTACCTAATTCTCTTAGACTCGTACCAGGATACCAAATCTCCGATGCGGACCTGTGGAAAGACCAACCCCTGAGAGCAGCAGCCGAACTCGGGCATCGCGTGCACTCCGGCAGGCATTGGGAGCATTGCGATCCGCCCAGCAGCAAAGAAGAGGATAATCAGGAGAGGAGTAATGACGAATGCGAGGAGGGCAATTATTTTGTTTGGAAGGTATGCAGTCGTAGCCGGGCGACAGTGGCAGATAGCCGTTGCTATGGCCACCACTCCCAGTGTGCCAAGGAGAGAAGACGAGAGGTAGGTGGGCCATGCTTCCGAGTTGCATCCAAGGAATTGTTCGGTGTAGAAGAGTCGAAGGTATAACCCTTCTAAAAGATTGCTTCATTAGTCCATCATTTCTCCACAGTGCAATTTCTATCGTCATGAGTAGGAAATGGTGCCATGCTTACACTTGTCTACACCCTCTTCGATGGTCTGTTGTTCAGCAACAGACAGAGCGTTTTTAGTCCGGTGATACCAGCCATCAAGAGCAATAATATCATTCTCAAGCATCACGGTGTATGAGGTATCAACGGATTCGCACGCTCCGAGGAGGTAGGTATAGTCTAACAGGCCCTTTTCGCGGGCAAAGGTCTTCGCGTCCGGGGTTTCCAATTTGCGGATGTGCTCTATATCCACCAGATCGGGGTCGTAGAGAAGACCCTTGTCGGCGAGGGCATGAAGCCACGGCTCCACGTACGCCGGATGCTCTGCTGGATTCGAGTGTTCGATCAGGAAGATCAGGTACAAATCTCCTCTCTCTGCCGCCGTAGGGCCCTCTAGCACTACTCGTGAGTTGCAGAGTGCCAACGTGCGAATGTGGTTTTTGCCTGGGTTGAGCATACAATCAATTCGTTTGAATTTTGCCTGGGTTAAAATCAAGACGGGAATCGCCTTTGTGGGCAACTTACATCGGCCCTAAGATCTAGTGCAATATACCAACACAACGGGAAGATTATCTGAAACGGCCGGTGCCGCATCTTCCATGTCTGACAGAAGGTGGGGATATTGAAATTGAAAGGGGAGGGAGCTCTTCCAGGGCACATAGAAATTCGTTCTGGATAGCCTCTGTCAGACTGGGGTTAGACCTAAACGGGGACACAACCACGGAGTGGATTTGACTGAGATTCTTTTGTCACACTCAGGGTGGAATCATTATTGTTCAGTGATGTGGAGCAGTGCCGATATGACAAGGGGCAAAGAGGAAATAGGCAGAAGATGAAAAATACGCACAATGACTTTAACGGGAAAAAATGAACAGATACTTATCCACGACTTGCTAGCCCTTGTACCACGTTGCCCCAAGTGTGTGGTTCGGTGGCTGGTTAATTAGGCAGCACATTGTTTATTAAATTATTCCGGTGATTTATTTTCTTTCCTTTCCGGGCCGACCACACCATATAGACCTTTCGGGTAATGTTGATGCAGTTTCCTAGCCAGCCAGCTCACCTGGATTTATCTACATGGTTTGGACGTCGCACAACAGGACGACTCTGGACAAACGAAAGGCGTTGTACAGCGACGTCGTTATTATCGGAGCAGGCTTGTCGGAAATCGACATGGCATGTCAGCTCCAGCGGCAGTTACGTGTTAGTGACTGTGATTTAAGACCACGCTCGAGAATTGGGTGGAGCGTGGTTAGCCAATAATGGTGATGTTCCTTGATTTCGTCTGCATATTACATAATAACAAGCAGCAGATCCAGGATGCAGTGTTGATATACCTGGCGCTTTATATTCGCTGTCATGGTTCCCGAATCCAGCCTTCACCAGCCTATTCCCTTCCCAGCGGGAAGTTTTATCCAACGTGTCGCTTGCGCTAACCACGTCACTGAACATGTGAGACCTCAGACTGAATGGAAAGGTGCCCGGCGGGTAAAGCTTCGAGTAGATGGCATGTATATTTCTGCGAATTGAAGACAGGAGAAGAATTCCTTCACGAAGCCAAAGTGTTGATCTCTGCTGTCGGGGGTCATACAAATCCCAATTTCCCCGTTCTACCTGGCTTGGAGCGGTTTGAGGGTCCAGTCGTGCACACTGCCCAATGGGAGAAGGAGTACGACCTCCGAGGCCTCAACGTGGCCGTAGTGGTAATGATGTTTGTTCAGGCCCTATGAGTCGTCTAGCAGACCATTGAATTAACAGTCCTGCAGGCTCCGGCTCACAGCTAGTTCCTGCTGTGATCAACCAAGTTAACAGCCTGACGCAATTGATCCGGGCAAATGTTCCATTCCAGCGCGCTTGCGTGATTGATTCCGGCACTGTTACGTGGGAATAGACCCCACAACATTACGTGCCGATGCCCATGGGCAATTACCGATTCGGAAACGCATGGCGCTTTTGTTTCTCCCACATTCCACTTATCTTGCTTCTTATCCGTTGGGTGATCTGAGCCGATTGCGCAAGTCGGCTCGAAGAGTGTGATGGCTCAGGCGGGGAATTCCCGGTTGATTTCATCATGATTGGTACTTGGACAGCTGCATCCATATACTGTCTTAACCACAGATCGTAAATTTTGGACAGGATTCGAGTTCACGCAGTGGAAGGCCGACACTGTGATTGGCAGGCAAAGGTAATTTGAAACAGCACTGGGACGATCAAGGCGGCATCGGTGCTTACAAGTCCGTGGCAATGAACGAGTTCCCAAGTATGTTCTCTATTTACTGGGCCCAAATTCTGGCAGGGGACACACATCTGTTCTTTTGCGATCGAGTGGCGAGTATTGTTCCCCGATAATATTGTGGTGAACTGTGTTGACACTCTTTACAGCTCGGTCAACCTTATTAGGATTGCACGTCCTATACTTCAACGACAGGCATCAATTGCCGAGGTGAGCAAAAGGGCTGAGGTCGAGTGGTGTGACACGATACAGACTGCTCTCAGCACAACGGTGCTGACGCGCACCTGTTCAATGTACGTTATCCACGGAGCATTGCATCGGGTCTTGGATAAGCTGACCATGTCCGATATAGCAATGTACCGACCCGAAAAGTGGATGGAACTTCTTTTCGTACCCTTTCAGTTCATTGTGTGTCTGGATTGGCACGAGGTTTCCTACAATGAAGCATTGGAAGTATCGCTAGCCACCCACGGCCACACGGAACCAGAGGCTTCGGGGCATATATTCAGCAGCTATGTGGTGGAGGGCACCTCTCTTGTTTTCTTGGTCTTTCGTACTTCATGTTTTTGTCGGATCATTTTGGACCATCTCAGACCCACCACTGGTGAAACCCTCAATATGCTTTCCGCCAAGTTGAATAAGAGTTCAGACGAGGTGTGAAGCTATCTAGTAGTCGGGTGCACCATTCTGTGCTGAAAGTGTATTTCGCTTCTGAGGCTTAGGTGAGCGCAGGCGAGCGCAGGCCTTTCTGGAATAGATCATTGAGTGCAGTATCGTAAGAGGTCCTATCTGATCATGTTACTGTAGAATTGACGAGGTTGATATGGATGCAGTAGCGAAGAAGCCACAAGTGCCACTATCAGTCGTGCTCGCTCAGGACGATACGCGGCTTTGATCCCATCAAGCCCCTATAACAGAGTTGAAAGTGAGCTCACCTTGACCATGGATCGCGCTTCAGAGGTTATTCCCCCTTCTTTGCCTTCGTGGTTCACGCTTTCTGGCTACTGTTACGAAGATAATTCTGATACGGCCCAGGCAAAGTGCGATGTAGTTGATTTGTGCTACTTGATCGCCTGTGTGCGCGCAAATGGGCATCTCAAGCGGTTTCATCAATTTGCACCACTTCCACTGTTGAGCTCGGCAGGTGCGGAGGCACGGCTGCCGGTGGGGACTCCCCCTTTCTCCTCGCACTTCTCGCACTTTGGTGCCTGCCCAGCCTCCTCCGCCTCCACCCCCTTCATCACCAAGTCAAACATCAAATCAAATGACTCTGCATCTCCAAGCCCATGTTTGATTCCCTGCTCTCTGAATAGGTAGTCCATCATTGATCCCATTCGCCGATTAACCTCATACAGGAGCTCGGTTAAACGGACGATTTCCTCTAGCTCGCTCCTAGATTGGCTGAGCGATTCCCGTATGGCGACTAGCTCTTGTTCAGATCGCGCTTGGCGGCGCTCTGCCTGGAGAGTGCGTGTATTGAGTGCACCAATAATCCGAAGAACTTCCTGGATACCGGTCAGCGGCACCGCGGTCAAAAACGGGTACACTTACTGAGGCATCCATGTCTGCGGGCGGGAAGTGGGCGAAGAGGGAATACGGTATCATTAAATGTCTTGGATATGCGCACAGAGGACCGGGGCCTTGAAACGAACTGAGATTTAGGATCCAATGGCTATACTTATAAGTTGTACACTGCATCACTTCAATACTAACTATCCATTTCTTGCCTGTCTTCTACAAAGACTTGAGGGGAACACTAGCTCACGCGCGGTATGAAGTGTTCATGATGGCTTTTAATGAGGATACCTGAGCGAGCCTCAGAAAGAACCTGGTGCTATGTTATTTTGTTAGATGTGTTCAACTTAGTGGCCATCAGTCACAGTACAACAGCTCGCAATGCGTTGGTTACAAATTCATGCGATTGGGGGTTCTTTAGCCGGCGAGTAGCACTTTCTAGTTGCCTATTACTCGTCACCGCTATTTCAACACTTCCTTGTATCCGGGACACCTCGTATGAGACTCACTCTCTCCGAATTTGTTTATCAGGGAGCGCCACTTGTTATGAAATTAGAACCCAGAAGCTGCCCTTGTAATTTTGGAATATAAGGGCACGACCCTGTTCCCCTTCAATCCCTATCAACTGTATCAGAAAAATTGGACATTGCTCTTTACCTACCAACCTCCCCATCCTGCGTCCGGGAAATACTAGCATGAGACATTCCAAGTTGAATCATGCCTAGGACATTGTCGAAGGTGGCAAGATGGTTTGGGCTGGAGGTAGTACATGTCATTGTCCTCCGCAGATCGCGTCATGGGGATCTACGTCTTATTCAGTCTACATTTCCTTTGGACCATCCTACGGTGGGTTTCCTGCTAGCATTTGGAAGGCATATGCTAACTCTAGCTAGGATATTACCCTGATACTAAAGGAGGAAGAGCCGCTTGTTCAAAGACAATCAGATGGCCCTGCTAGAAAAGGGTAGCGAAATCGACGGTCGCTCATATCATTGCGGAGGGTTGGATTGGAAGAACTGTGACTGCATTCTCTGTACATCCCTGATAAGTCCCTGTGTGACATAATTAGTCAATATCAGCAATTGGATAACATGGGATTTGGTATTGCTGTAAACCCGACAAATGCTCATCTTGACCATGACATGGCCCGAGTTGGACCCATTGTGGGGCAGGTGTTTATTTCCCTTCATCCCCGTGAGCCTTGCCTGTCTCGACCGGAAGTTGCAACCAGGGCTTAGAGAAACTAGTAACTAAAATGTGGGACGTGGCGGACACACTCGTGAGCAAACTCACCGGCATTTAGTGCTAAGGTAGGAGTTTGGTCAGTTGGACTCCAATGTCGGTCACGATCCAACACTGAAAGAATGCAACCTCTTTCCACAGCAGCTGGTTGGTGAGGCTCTACTGATGCTCAGTTTACCAGCTTCAGCAAGCTATGACCTAGATACACGCTAAGCCTGCAACGAGATCCAACCTTTTACATTAGAACAGTTGACCATCCTGTTTATCCTTGGCTTTGGAGAAACTCCGTTCCCCGTAGTTCCTTAGAATTAAACAGACAGTGGGATTTTGGGAAATAAAAAAATCAGTTGACACAACATAAGGAAAGAAGATTATTCCTCCCGCTGTCAAGTCCGTTCATTTCGCGTATTGCACTTTTGTTCAACTCTGCCGCTGAACGGGCGTGGTTATTTTTTCCGATCAATCAAACACATGATCTTGATGTCCAAATGGCAGCTTCAGATGCAGGCAAGCAAGTAGCATTATTGCTGCATGGGAAAATGACCACCTGTCCCACACTAAATACGCCTTGCTCGTGTAAGAGTGGTGAAGGGGGAATGGTGGCTTTGGCCGTGTATCGATTGATGAGGACATACAATCATTTAATGACATCAAATTACTGTATCCTTTCTCTGATGGCCATGATACTCATCCACTCCCTCATCGAAGTGGCTATCAAATCACGACATTTTTGCCGTCAATCTGCATAATTAACTCCCTTATCAACACAAGCTGAATATTTGACAGCAGGTCTTTGTTACAGTGACCCTAGCTAACGTTCTCATCCAATAGATGTATTCTGGAAAAGGGCTGCTACGACACCAGAACAGTCGAATTAAGGCATCCTTTGGTATTGACGGCATTCTTTGTTCTTTCAGTGGTACTATATCGAATGAAGCCCCTTCCTTCAAGTGCTCAGCTGTGTCTCTTGCCTACAGTGCCATCACTCAAATGACCGGCAGAAAGAGATATTTCGAAGGGGTATTCGGTCCAAATAATGTTCAAATCATAATTGACAACGGAGTAGTCGTCGTCTCGGGACAACTCGATTGTTCCATTGATGGCGCGACTCTAGTTTCTCGCAAGTGTTCACGGGCTCAGATCTAAGCTCCCAATGGTATGTATCATCGACGAGCGTACGGGCAATTTCAAATTCTGTATATAATGGAACTATAAACTTCCCTTCAAAACAAACGGAACATTTTCCCTCTCAGCCCGACATCTACGACTGTATACGTACGCGCTATTTTTCGATCATTAAGAACCATCTCTCCACAAACAAATTGGGAAAAGCAACTTCAAACATCATTCAAGCTTTGACAACATCCACCACCAACTTATGTGTTGAAAATGATGACGCGATGGATCTCACTCTCAAGCACGAGAATGAGCGACACGAGATTGAACTGTGCATTGCGTCTAAGCAGCTACATATGCCCTTTTATTTTATCAACCAGGTATCGAAATTCTCTAACCATAAATGATCGGCCCGGAGATTAACCCCCCAGCTTTTTTTACTCCCATGGGCACTACGACCCGAGCCGCCAGGTTTTACCGACATCAGTCAGTTCACAGCTGCCACGATAGCAACTTTGGTGTGCGTTGTATTTTCTTTCTCAATTAAGCTATTTTTAAACGCCCAGTACCGAAACCATCACATCCGCGAATTCATGATATTGTTGAAGTGAGGGCCCATTCCTGGAAGCAATATCGTTAAACATACAGCTGACCGACCATTTTGGCCTAGTGGATGCTATGAAGCTAGTAAGATGGGCTTTATTAACATGTCTGTTTTTGTTCTTTTCGCACCGCAAGACTCTCTACGACTTGCTTTGATTGGATGGAGCTTGAGCATCGCGGTCACAGTATGCTACATCGTCATGCTTTATCTCGCCGACGATAAATAGGACGATAATTATATGATTCGAGGTCAACGTACTGTAAGAGCAAGTTATGTAGTTGATCGACTTTCTTGTTAGTACACAATATGCCGGTTGAACTGACTAGTTGAAAGGCTAAGCAGTGTGCTGTTTGAGTGCACCCTATCCCAGTGGTGATTCTCCATATTGCATCAAACAAACAAATACATCCTAAATCTCGGCCGACGTATGCTTACGTTCTCCTGTTCACCAGCCTTCGTCGCCGATCTAATATCTCCTATGGAAGAGTGACTCTAGTTGCCCACCAGGGCTATTGATTCGAAGCAAGGGCACATGAAATTCTAATTTTCAGCTCTTGGCTGTTTGCTTCGTTCGTTCCAACAAATACCATCAGGCTCTTTCTACCGAGCATCCTAATTTAGAAAGCCTTCCACCTCACAAGCCAGTCTCGGGCATAGCAGTCCAAAATATTGTCTTGGACAATATTCAAGTAGCCACTGCGTAGAGTCACGCTATCTCTTTCAGCCTTGTCCGTCGCAAACACTTTCGTCCCGCTGTGATCAATGGAAGACTGGACACCATGCATCATCTCATGATGGATCAGTTTGACTGCCGGGTTGGTATGTTCTTCACCTCGTGCCTCACTCTCGCGGAGCAACTGAAGCCACTCTTCAAACGGCAAAACCTGAAATTGAAATCCGCTCCGTTGGAGGGCCGCCAGCAGCTCCGACCAAGAAAACACGCGCGAGTTACACACGTTGTAGATCGAGTCGTCAACATAGGCCATCCCGGCGATGTCGGACACGGTGCTTGGCAAAACGTCGCGCTCAGGCGCAGAGCATGACTCGGCCAACTCGAGCATTACTGTGGCCAACTTGTCCACAGGAAGCCACGAACAGGTCTGATGTAGTTCAGGCAGGGCGCGTAGGGTCAGTGCCGATCGGATCAGCAAAGGAATTACATCGGAGTCGTTCCATAGGCCTTTCTTCGAATGTCCCGAGACTTGACCAATTCTGAGAGAGTACGCTCTTGCGCCTGACCGGCGTGCAAGGCTGACCATCCTTTCTCCCACCAGCTTGGACTGACCGTAGCCCTTCTGCGCGCTGTTGAGATCAACTGCTTCCTCTTCGATCGTGGCCGAGGAGGCCCCCAGCGCCGTAGAGATGGAAGAGCAAAACAACATGACCGCAGGTTCAAGTCTTCGGACCGAAAGTGAAAATGTAATGAGGTTGTATAGTCCCCGGAGGTGTGGCTCGAAATGAGCGAGGGGGAGGTTAAAGTTGACTGGCCATGCAGCATGGATGATTAAAGATACAGAGTCTAGCATACGGTGAAAGGTCTTCCCCACTGGGTCCAGACAAAAGTCAGGCCGGTCCAGTGCGCCGTTTAGTGCCACAACCTTTGATGTCTGTTCTGGTGAAAGCAACAGGCCCCTTTCGAACAGACTGCCGCGCACCGCCTTTAACGGAGATGCCCTCCGTGTGAGACAGTAAACGGTCGACACCGAGTCATCGTTCAGCAATTCGAACAGCACGTGTGCACCCACTGACCCAGTAGCTCCTGTCAACAGCTTGGCTATGTCAGGTTGATGATTCGGTCTCAAAATTGCATGTACTTACCACCGTCCTTGTCCTCCGTGGAGTTTCCGGGCAAGGCAAGTGTTTCCGAAATGAGGAGTATTTCTTGACCAGCTTGTCCATCAGTAAGATACTGTCTTCGGCCGTCGAGAGGCTGTCTCCGCTCTGCAGCGCGCAGATGTAGAGGGCTAGCTGCGAGAGAGTGCCCATTTCAAACACCGAGTTTGGACTTGGAGAGTGGCAGGGTTCAAATCTGAACTGCTGCAGAATCAAGCGGCGGAGGTGCATTGCTTTTAGGCTGTCGACACCTTCGGAAAAGAGATCGGCATCCACACTCGAGATGGAGACCCCGAGTTCATCCCAGCACAGCTGAAGAAGGTGAGACTGCGTCTCGGCCAGGCCTAGTTGGAGGCCCCCTGGGTCGCGCTTCCGTGGTGTACAGGGTCTCGATCAACCCCGCATATTGCTGGTAGACCTGTGATCGTATCATAGAGCCTTTGTCTGTTCGGGGGAACGTTGCAGTGTGTGGCAGAATCGCCACCATGTCCCGTGAAATCTGAGCAAAGGCCTCTGCCTGGCAATTAGCCTCTTCAATGGACGGCCAGATAGCATCGAGGTAGTCCTCATCCGGCAGAGGATCAGACTCGGCTTCCTCCGAGCGCAAGACCAGAAGTCCCGGAGTGGCTTTGCCCACTCCCACCATCACCGCTTCGTGAACCAGCGGATGTTGCTTGACATGACCTTCCATAGAAAGTGGCAAGACTTTTTCGCCATTGACGAGGGTGACGCGGTCATCCAGTCTCGACATGTACTTCCAGCGCTCCGGAATCGTAGGATGAGGGGCGAATACGTCCTTAGAATGGAAAGACCCGGGTGGATCGTCTGAATTGGACGTGGTCAAAGCCGGATGACCGGCCAGGTAAACGCATTCATAGAGAGGTTCAGTTTCGCTGATGGATTTCATCCAAATATATGGTCGTACGCTATCAAAGAACTGCAGGTAGTTCCAACCGTGGTCGTCTTCGGAACGTGAGATCGAATCTGCCACAAGGCCTGCCTCGGTGCTGGCGCGGATGTCAGCACGGAAGATCAAACGCAAAAGGAAAAGAACTTACAGGCCGAATGAACCTCCAAAAGTGACACCTTCCCTGACCAGGCGATCGCCCAATTCGTCCGGGCAGGGAGCACCCCCGTACGTGACCAGCGTGCATTTCCGCAGCGCCGCAATGCCACGAGGATCATCCGCCAACAGCTGCAGCATGTACGGAACTGCAGCTATCAGCTCGGGCCAAGCTTGTTCCAAGGCGGTGAGCACGTGCTCCGCTGTCATTGGCAGTGCGGCATTCCACATGTATGCTGTCTTTCTCCTCCACATGGCCTGGAATGCGGTGGACAGCCCGTGCAGATGGTACCAGGGAAGAGGATTGAACGATGTGAGTCCAGGGCCTCTCAGAGGGTGTGTCATGAGCGCTCGATGGGTAAGGAACAGCGGTTTGAGGGTGCCAGTGGATCCTGAAGAATGCAGGATCACGGCGGTCTTGTCGGGGTTACGATCGCGGCGAAGGAAGAAGAACCTGGGCTTAGCTTTGGTGTCCAAAGAGCTTCGAGGTAGGGGACGGCAGCTCACCAGCTTCCGTTGCAATATGTTACCCACCGTCGAGCGGATGCTAGGGGTTTCCCCGTAAACAATTGTCGCGCATCCCGCCGTCTCTAACAGGGACACACACGCCTTACCCGACCATCTTGGCGAAAGCATGAGGACAATGTAGCCCAGTCGGCTCAGAGCAAAGAATGTCACGACCATGTCAAGATCTGACAAGGCAAGGAGCGCGACAACCGATTTGTTTCGTCTTGGCTGAGAAGAGCTGTCAGAATGTGTGAGGCCGGACGGCATCGGCAGACCTACCGTCTGGGAGCCAAGGTCCATAAGCATCGTCGCTGCTTGGTTGATCATGGTATTCAAGTCTTGACCGCTATAGTAGTCATAGGACGCGGCATGGCCCGCTGATCGGGGATAGGCAAGAATCGGGTGTTGGACGAGATCGGCAGCTCGCAAACGGATCAGGTCATCCAGAACCTGGATCTGTCCATATTCCTGAACCAGTTGGTCTGCGGTGTTGAAGAAATCGGCCTGTGATGTCGGACCGCTGGGTTGGATACCCATGGTGAGTGAGAGTTCGCAAGTCCTTAGGGGGATGTGAGAGACCTCGCAGCATCAATCTCGGAGGGAACAGAAGCACTATATAGGAGCACGGGAACAAGCCAATTTGAACATCTGGTGCTTGGGATGATAGAGACGGTTGTTGGTGAATTCAGTGTTGTAAGAGCCGTTGAAATCCAATTTGATCATCTGTTCGCAAAGAAAGATGTTTATCCCAACATCTAGTTATGGCACGATGGTTATTCCCTGGCACTCTCTGTTCATCCACCTTGTTTTATGGATTACGTGGTCTCTGGTTAATTACTGGCGGAATCTTGTCACCGCGTGATGTGGCAATGAACGCGCAGCGACGAAAGAGAGCAGACGCCTGCGAATGTGAATCTGCGTTCATATATTAAGTCGAAGTGTGTTCCAGGAATAAGATGCTAAGACGGAGAGGTAGCTTGTCTTGCTCGTCCATGAGGGTGGTTGATGTGGTGTTTACGGTTCTTAATATGTTATATTTCAACAGTGTGCTCGCTGGTCAAATTATCCCCACTCGAAGCACACTTCCTACGATAATCAATATCATTGGCTCGACTGGCCAATAAGTTGCAAGGAAATGACAAATGTATATTAAAATCAGACAAGTATTGACTTGTATAATATTGGACATAGCGATGGTATCTATCGATTTGTTTGCGATCTCTCTCGATTCCTTGTCGCGTCTTGTCATGCGGAGCTCTTTGACCCAAGCGGTAAAAAGGTGACTCTACCGATGTGGCTCAAATACTCCGTGCGCGCGAATGCAGTCTGCGGGCCAAGAACTCTGCATGCTGGAGCCAGCGGGCCTTAATTTCCCGCTTGAGGTGCTGAATCTTGATCTCGTCGAGCGTATGCTGAGCAATGAGCCGTTCTTTGTCTTCTCTGAGTTGCTGCGATCGATTCCTCCTTCCACGGCCCCTCTTTCTCTTGCACCTGCCTCGGCGGGGTCTCATGGTTGGTATGTCTGCCGAAGAATTGTCTCGGTCTGGCTTCGCCGTGAAACCCTCCTTCATAGATCTCTGTTGCCGTTGAGTCTAATGGGGAATATCAGCTGCACGCCCGGGGCAAGGAGCAAGGAATAGGAAGACCTACCGATTCCGGTATTGGTTCAGGAACAGCAATTATTTCAGTGCCCACCGCATAGGATGGGCTGATAGGATTTTCGAGAACATCGTTGGGAGTATGCAGCTCAACATTTGGCGTGGAGTCTGCCGTCATTGCTATCATAAGTTGTTTGGAGAACACAGAGGCTGAAAAGGTCCTTGTATTTGCGGGTTTAAAATAGTTGAGGGATAAGACGCAGATGGAAGTAATCACTGGTCAATGGGATAGAGCCCCTTCGCGGCCCTGTGATAGACTTCGCCAGATTGACCAAGCGGTCCGGGCCTGTTTTTGCGTAAACGGGCAATTCTGATGAGTAGGTTGAATAAACGGGGTGGGGATACACCTTTGTGACCCTTGAGCTCGGGAGCTACACCCCCAATAAACAGCATCGGAGGGGTAAATAACCGGATCCCGTTTTGAGAGTCCCAGCTTGACGCTGCTCATGAAAGGATGTGAGGGAAACATCTACTGCCGATTTGGTTTATTTGGTGGAGAAGAACAACGGACTCGGTCTCTGGACCGTTCATCTCCCGTGCTGTTACTTCCTGCCTGAGAGATTTAAACAGCACTTATCTGCTGTGCGGTTGTTTGTTTTGTAGTTATAGAGTCTTTTTCAGATCAACAGACGCATGTAGTGTTCTTGACATGCAGGTGTTTATTTGTTGTGGGGTGACAGGTCAATTGATTAGGTTCTAAACATTTGGATTGCACCGAACCAATCGACTTCCTAATTTTCTCGTTTAAACGCACATGCGGTTGGCTATTTTGAGGCCATCCATTTGTTGTGGGTCCATGGTTGGTGTTTGAGCCTTTGACGAAGTTTTGTTTACCCTAATCCCGGCATTTGTCTCTTAGTTCCGAGTGTCTACTGGACACAATCAAGCAACCATCGCGGCGTTCATCGAGATCGGCGGACTCCAGTGATTAAAACAGAAGGAATGGTAATGAACAACCATGGGATATGCATGTTTGACAGAATTGAACAGAACGCCCGCTTTGGGGTTTCTCATTTTGTCGTCGTTTACTCCCTGGCATTCCCTAGGCCCCTCAGGTACTGGTCAGCAAGAGTATCGTTCACGTTTATGACCTCGGACCGAGCAATTTCAACGCGCTGTGGTATAGTGTAATTCGCCTAGTCAGGTCCATAATTAACGATTGAAAGAACGGTCATCATCCGCTCTTCAAGGCCAATATTTGCGCGGGGTTGACGGTGTGTAATATAATGGGTGAAGACGTTCAAGCGATAAACAAGATGACAAGCTGCTATTACACATAATATTCAGTGTTTATGTTCAGTGTTTATGTTTAGAGGAGAAACTGTACATTTCTAGACAATACAAGAAAATGTGCATCTTCCAGCACGAATACACTGAACAGCTAGATTATGGGCAAGACGAATCTAAGTATAACGCATAGACTTGGACAGATCCTAGCTTCATCGAACGACTACGCGTTTGATTATTGATCCCCAGCACCACGAAGAGGTGTCTGTCCATTGCTGGAGGCAACTAGAGCATGAAGCAGAAAACCCAACGCTGTAAAGCTGTGGCCCTCTATGTGCTTCACGGTGAGTTACGGCGAGTCGCGGTAAGTCACGGCGAGCAGAAAACCCAACGCTGTAAAGCTGTGGCCCTCTGTGTGCTTCACGATGAGTCGCGGTGAGTCGCGGTAAGTCACTGTGAAGCAGAAAACCCAACGCTGTAAAGCTGTGGCCCTCTATGTGCTTCACGGTGAGTCACGGTGAGTCGCGGTAAGTCACTGTGAAGCAGAAAACCCAACGCTGTAAAGCTGTGGCCCTCTGTGTGCTTCACGGTGAGTCGCGGTGAGTCGCGGTAAGTCACTGTGAAGCAGAAAACCCAACGCTGTAAAGCTGTGGCCCTCTATGTGCTTCACGGTGAGTCACGGTGAGTCGCGGTAAGTCACTGTGAAGCAGAAAACCCAACGCTGTAAAGCTGTGGCCCTCTATGTGCTTCACGGTGAGTTACGGTGAGTCACGGTGAAGCAGAAAACCCAACGCTGTAAAGCTGTGGCCCTCTGTGTGCTTCACGGTGAGTCGCGGTGAGTCACGGTGAAGCAGAAAACCCAACGCTGTAAAGCTGTGGCCCTCTGTGTGCTTCACGGTGAGTCACGGCGAGTCGCGGTAAGTCACGGTGAAGCAGAAAACCCAACGCTGTAAAGCTGTGGCCCTCTGTGTGCTTCACGGTGAGTCGCGGTGAGTCACGGTGAAGCAGAAAACCCAACGCTGTAAAGCTGTGGCCCTCTGTGTGCTTCACGGTGAGTCGCGGTGAGTCACGGTGAAGCAGAAAACCCAACGCTGTAAAGCTGTGGCCCTCTGTGTGCTTCACGGTGAGTCACGGCGAGTCGCGGTAAGTCACGGTGAAGCAGAAAACCCAACGCTGTAAAGCTGTGGCCCTCTGTGTGCTTCACGGTGAGTCGCGGTGAGTCACGGTGAAGCAGAAAACCCAACGCTGTAAAGCTGTGGCCCTCTGTGTGCTTCACGGCGAGTCACGGCGAGTCGCGGTAAGTCACTGTGAAGCAGAAAACCGAACGCTGTAAAGCTGTGGCCCTCTGTGTGCTTCACGGTGAGTCACGGTGTGCGAACCATTTCTGAGACTCGGGGCAGGCTTGAGCTTTATATTTCCTTGTACGGTATTCAAAGAAAGCCACGTATGCAATTCCGCTCTTTAGTCATACACCGCTCGACAGATCTGCCAATGAAACTTTACCTCCCCAGCCTCCCCGACTCCATTCAGACACGTTGACTCGCCGACATTAGTAAGACTTATGACTCGGAATTAACCACGACACACTCGTCATCACGGATCCCCTTTTCACCATGGCCATCGTGGTACTCTCTTAGTGGACTTTTTGTCTGCGGGCAAAATTCATCAAAGTTGAATGACTCTAAGTATGGGAAATTAAGCAGTTTAGCGCAGTCCTTTTTTGGGGGTGCCGTGTGGGATTAAACAATAGCTTAATGCGGGGCTGGGAGGAGTGCTAGTGATACTCCAAAGGTGATCTGCAATTATCGGTCATGAGTGCGTTCAACTTTCAGTAATTGTGCATCCTAATCTACGCATGCAACTTTGGTGGAGTTTCTCAACCCCCTGCCCGCAGGGAGATTGGTGATTTCAATCTCAAGTTTTGATCGTCTACATTGCTCTGTTTTTCCCCGCACACCTTCAAGTTGTATTTCAACTGGAAGATCGGTGGGCTCAACCCACCGCAGCGACCACTCCCTTGTTCGTGGTTCATTTTTAGTCGAGTGTTTGCTACACGGGGCGCATGGGCATTTGTTAGTGGCGTGTCGGTCGCTTACTGGTAAATTTTGTGGTTTCTTAGTTTCAGGATGTTGTTGGCTACGTTTACAGTACAGCATGGAATACTACGTGTCTCAAATATCTGAAATGAAAAGTATGTTCAAGGTCAGGGTAATTGAACAGACCGTTCTAGGGAATAATCATTAGACAGGGCGAAAAAATGGGGGTCTCGTTCAGAATATATATTGTCCGCTTGTATATATTTTGCCCTCCGACACATATGTTGTAATTCACTTACAACATATTTATTTACCCTTTTTATTGATATTTCAATACGAGAAATATACCGTTATCATAAGAATAATATTTCTTATTAATTCCCCGCTCGTTATATGAGTAGTTGTTGGAATAAGGTGACTGTGATAGACGGAAAATGGTGGGATAGATTTGAAGTAGTTGAACCCCCCTAATTGGGAAGCTTACATAAGCCAATTGGCTAAGTTACTGCGGGTGCCCTTTGCCTCTTGGCGCTCAGCCATGGTCGCTTCCCCTTTCCCGTGGCGAAATCTAAGCACAGCTTCGCCAGTCTATATTTTCTTGCCCGTCGCCTCTTACACTTTCATCATGCTAGGTCTTGTGTCACTATGTGTCTATTCTTGTTTATTCTACCGGTAGCGTGGAAAGCGTTGTTTGACTTGCCTGTTTCGTCAACACCCAAATAGTCTTTGTGTTTAATCCTTCATCAAAGTCATGCCTTTCTGCAACCAGTGTCTTTGCATTATAGTTTTGCCCAGTCAATCACATCATCTCCTTGCGGCCCGCAATTATTGCCTGCGTTTTATATGCTTATTATCCCGCGAGTGAAAAAGACATTCCTTGTATCATATCTGGCCCCAGGTTATAGTATGGTACGCTCTTGGTCGCTCCTAGGGATCAAGACTCGTAGTGTCAAGGATATGCATGAAGCAATACGGAACGGATGGAGATATGATCTGCACGGGACCCACGTGGTGTACATGAGTTCCCCTGAACGCGAGGAAGCCACCTTTCTTTTGCTTCCTCGCGCTACGTCTTGTATCTAGGTCAACTATAGTTGTTCTTAATATTGATTGTTCATCTGAATCACTATCCACCTCTACGTATACGTGAGACCCTCACTTGAAGATTTAAAATTCCCAGGAGCAAGAAGAACAAACTCGCTTGTTCCTAGGATACTCCGATGGGTTAAGTCCTGGAAAATTTAGCTACTTGAACATGGGAGCCCATTGTTGGAACCTCCCTCCTGCTCTAACGTAGGAGCTTGGTCAGTTAGACTCCAATGTTGGTCACGGTCCCATAATGAAAGAATACAACCTCTCTCCACAGCAGCTGGTTGGGAAGGCTCTACTGAGCTCAGTTCACCAGCCTCAGCAATTTATGACCTAAATACACGCCAGGCCTGCAACAAGATCCAATCTTTCACATTTGGACAGTTGACCATGCTGTTTGTTCTTGGCTCTGGAGAAATTCCAATCCAAATATTTTCTTGCAATTAAATAGATAGTTGACTTCTGGGTAAATGGGAAAACGGTCAATACATACAAGTAAAAGAGATTTTTACCTCCCACTACCAAACTTGACTATTCGCATATTGCACTTTTTGTTCAACTATGCCGCTGGACGCGCCTGTGGTTATTCTTTCCGATCAGTAAACACTCCCAATCTTGATGTTGAAATGGCCGCTTCCGATGCACGCAAACAAGTACCATTATGGCTGCAAAAGAAAATAACCACCTGTCCGACACTAGATACGCCCTGCCCGTGTAAAGTGATGAAGTGGGTAGATGGCTTTGGCCGTGTATTGATTGATGCCCA